AAATCATACTTTTGATCAAAACAGTAAATTTGTATGATACAAAGTTTGATCAAGGTAAAATGGAAATGTTTCTATTAGATAAACCTTAAAACCTTGTAGGAGTGTTTATCGCTGCTCATAAGAGAAAAGCGATTCTAAAAAAGGTAAAAACGACCTTTTTATAAATTTAAATAGATATTCTAGAATAAGCGAAGATGTTTTTTCTGTTTAGGTAAAAATATAAGAAATATTATCCTTTGTTATTATGAAGAATAGAAAAATATGTATATGAAGAAGAAAAAGAGTACGTGAGTTTTGTTTGTGTATTTATAACATGCGTGACTTCAGAAAGGTCAATATAATACAGTGTAGAGATATATATTATCTAATGAACGGTTAAATTAAGGATGTAAGAATAGAGTGTAGATAAATATGTTTGAATAAACGGTTGAAACAAAGAAGATAATAATAAACGGTCCGATAATTTAACAGTTAATCAAAAATTATACGATATTTCATTAAAAAAATAAATGAATTAATATTTTACTCTTTTAATTCACTTTTCTTTTGTTTTGTAAAGTAATTCAGATTTTTAAATAAGTGATTCATAAAAGTAAAACATTAGGGGGTAGATATTTGAATATTTTTTATACACAGTTGAAAGAAAACATAAGTTTATCCACCATGAAATTATTATCATAATATTACGGTAAAAAGATTCTAATCGGTGAACTTTAAGAGTATCAAATGTAGAGATAAGCATATCTACATTCTGCAAAAGTACTTACATCATTCAACACTTATTTCCAGATCAGTTTAAACGTATCATCATAGCACGTACGGAAAATGAGTATTTTATTTCGAATAAATGTAGTACATTAAATGTAACGCGATTGGAATTTTTATCGTTTGATCTATCGTGGATTATTGCATTACAATATTTATTTAATTTCACTTTTCTCGCGAAAGTGCATTGTCATAAGTTGGTTCAAAAGTGAACAAAAAATATATTCGACCATGACATCATTAATCGTTACAATAGTGACATGTCTTTTGATTATCAATATTGGACTAACCAGCAGTGCAAGAATTTTGGCTGTCTTTCCAATTCCTTCTTACAGTCATCAAATAGTTTATAATTCTATATGCAAACATTTAAGTTTGCGAGGTCACCAAGTTACTTTAGTTACAACCGATCCGATAAATCACACAAATTTGAAAAATTTAACCCAGATCGACATCAGTATTAATTACGAACAATTAAAAGATACCAATTTCTATGAAGCTAGAACCATGTACACCTGGCAGCAAATATCAGCGATTTATTTATTTGAAAAAATACACGAGTTTTCTAAGAATGTTTTCGAACATCCTGACATAAAAAAAATCTATGCACCTGATAGCAATGAGAAGTTTGATGTTATTCTAGTCGAAGCCATAATGACGCCAGCCATTTATGGGTTTGGACACAGATTCAAAGCTCCATTGATAGGTACGTAAATGAATATATTCAAATTACAAACGATTAAATGTGAATTAATTAAACAATAAAAAGGAAGAAAAATAAATAAATTAATGTGTTAACAAGAAAAACAAATCATGAAATATAATGTTCTTTCTTTAAATAAACCATTTTTTGTAATAATTTTCCTGATTTGAACAATTATCTTTTAAAAATATCTATTAATCTCCACATAAATATTTCGATGTAATCTTTGCAAATGATAAGAGTTTAATTCCTCATAAATTTTCTTTCAATCATTGAGGAGTTAAAATGAGACAGTACAAGATTAGTTTTCTTTGCGAAGTTTGCAATATGATTCCTCTTATAATGTTTATAATATAATCTTATAGTTTGTTCTTATTATTTACTTTCTTATTTGTAATAAGGAGGAAGAAGGCATAAAAATTAATCTTATTCCATATCTTTATCTCATTTTATATCTTCAGGGTTTTGATATTTGATTTATTTTGATATATTTATAGGTATGTATTCATTAGCGCTTACACAACAATCTCATTTTATCATTGGAAATCCAGTGCTACCATCACATCCTTCGGCTTATGAATTAAATAAAGGCATTGGTTTCAATTTACCTTTTTGGAAAAGAGTACATAACTATGTCGTAACATGGTGGCATATGCACGTAAATTGTAATAATAGAATGTATAAACCGCAACAAGAAATTGCAGAAAAATATTTGGGTAAAATACCTTCTATCAAAGAATTAGAAAAGAACATGAGTCTCCTATTTGTAAATCAGCAAGAAGAAATTTCATTTACCCGTCCCAATGTTCCTAATGTCATAAATTTTGGTGGTTTGCATATATCAAATGACATTCTAAATAAACCTTTACCAAAGGTGATTTTTTGTATGACACATAAAATACTTTACTTTTCATTACATTTGTATCAAATTTTCTGTTTCAATGTCAAACTCTGAAATCAGATGTAGTATTAATTATTTCTTTCTAGGAATTAAAAGAATTCATAGATAACGCAACTAATGGTTTCATTTACGTCAGTTTTGGAACAAACGCAAATCCATCAACGTATCCGAAAAAATTGTTGGATATATTTTTCCATGTTTTCTCTAATTTACCGATGAAGATTGTATGGAAACTCAAGGGAAACTATCCACAAATATCAGACAATATATACATCTCTGAATGGTTTTCACAACAAGAAGTTCTATGTACTATATCTCAGAATTTTAATATTTTTTTAACATATTTAATTTTTATGCGCATATATATTTTATAACTAATAATAAACATTTTCGTATTTCATATATTATAATATGAAAATGCAGCACATCCGAATTTGAAGCTGTTCGTTTATCAAGGTGGTCTTCAAAGTACAGAAGAAGCTATAAACTTTGGTGTACCACTTGTTGCAATACCAATATTATCCGATCAAGACATGATAGTTTTGAAAATGGAAAATTTAGGGGTATGCAGAAGCGTTGATATTTTTCAAATGACAAAAGAAGTTTTAAACGAAGCGATTATGGAGGTCTTACATAATAAAAGGTAAAGTTTTAATTATTATAATTTTTTTAAAGATAAGATCAATTAACTAGAAAAATCAATCATAGTAAAAAACAAAATATATACTGTAATCATTTGTTTTTGCTTTTTTTAGTTACAAAGAAAACATGTTGAAACTCAAAAATCTTATAGAAGATAAACAAGTTGGCACAATGGAAAATGTCATTTGGTGGATTGAGTATGTCATTCGTCATAAAGGAGCAAGTCATCTCCGTTCTAGCATCGTAGATGAACCATGGTATCAACGATACGATACTGATGTTATCGCTTTATTATCTGTTACATTGTTTATAATTGTCATCCTTAGTCTATATATTGCTTTTAAAGTTTTTGTAATTATTATGAAATATTGCGCATGTTTATTATTTAAAGAAAAAAATAAAAAGAAATTAAATTAGTTTTATAATCGTAATTGAAAAAATAAAGTCTATTTAAATGAATTTCAAAAATCTTCTAGATAAGACAATAAAAAAAGATTACGTGAGTAGAAAAGATTATAGTTAAAATGAAAACTAACATGTATATTGATTGTATTGATCATTCGCATTTTAATAATTTATTCTAGTAGACGTCATTCTTATTTTAAATTTCTCTTTGTAGAATTCGAGTATCATTAAAAAAGATTTTTAAAAGTAGTATTATAAATATATAAAAATTAATGGTTAAAACTGCCAAAAACAAAAATTAGTAAAAAAATAAGATTATTTCAATTGAACTATTTACGAATTGTTTTTTTAAGTGGTTCCCTGGTCAAAATAATTAACTAAGTCATCTTTATTACAAAAAAGTACATTTCACTCTCAGACTAATTGTACTCTAGCAGTATATAGTTAACGCTTAACGAATATAAAGAAAAAAAACTATCGTACAAGTGTCGCTTCAGACATAATACCGAATCGCGAATAAAAGGAATAAAAAATCTCCTGTCCGTTTTAATCTTCAAAAGTTTAGTACATCAACAAAAATGTGAGTATATAATTCGTGTGAGTGTACTTTATATACAAAGAAAAGAGACAGTATAAAAAAGAGATAAAAGAAAGATGGAGAAATAAGTACGGATGATGGGTCAAATAAAAGGTAAGAAGATGATTTTTCTCAATTCTTGGAGATAAGAGAAAATTATAGCACGCGTAGGCTGAGAAAGTAGATTTTTTTTCGCAAAAAGCGAGAATAAAAAAAATCTATTCGCTACTCATTGAAGCGTTAATTAAAAGAAATCTAAAAATGAACTTGAAAAATAAAAGATTGTTCTTCCATATAGTTGTAAGAGTAAATGTATACAAGTTATTTAAAAACGATCCTTACATTATTAATTGAATAAAAATCAACGAAAATCACTGGTAACGAAAAGAAAAATATATTAATACTAACTAATTAATTAATAAGACTTCATAATTGAACCTACTTAAATGAATAGAGTAAACTTTTTTTTTTTTAAACTCAGCCACAGTAAACGAAGTTTCTCTGGAAAAAATTCACACTAGCTTTTAATTAACTGAACTTATTTAATTATTGAATGGAATTGATAATAATTTTTATCGATGACTTGATAACACTTCGCACTTGTAATATCAAGTTATAAAATCGGATGAAAATAAATAATACGTTAAATACAATAATAATGCAATACTTTCATTTCCTTTTTTTGTTATATGTAATAATATCAAAAATTTCTAATAAAAAATTAGATTCTTTCTTTATAATACCTTAGAACAAAATTATAAGTGCCAATACCGTCCCTTTGACCGATTTTGTAGAAGGAGGTAAAGCGTT